AGTAATTTGCCGTGATGGTCCCATGACAGTCAAGTAGGAAATGTCTGTGATGACCATCACAGGTTTACCAACACCCCTTACTGTGTAGCAGCTCAGCTGGTGAAGGAATCATTGAATTTTTATAACACCGCAAACACTGCATTAATTTTCAATTTGTGCCATGACTCATGGATAAAATAGTGAAAAATGCAGAGACCCTCAGGGCCAGTTTATACGTCGCATTTCTGCCATGTCGAATTCAATTCAACAAATGAAATTTGACAGAAATCTGACATCTCAATTGGCTACCACATTTCTGACGTAGGTTTGACTGGTCTTGTCTCATTATCCGGCAGAAATGCGACGCTGATTCAAACCTCAAATTTCTGCAGTCTTGAATCTAGTACATACTTTATGTTAATGTTTGAGCATGCATAAATTTGGTCTCTCCAAAGAAAAAGAAGAAACTCTGCCATTCTGGACCCAATGCAACTTGAACATATTGAACACTTACTGTTGCATTGTCAGCCTTCCCCTTCTCATTCCATTAGCGGATAATTTTTCACAAATTTAAGAGCTTCATTGCTCAGTATCTTTGTCCATCATATTGAATACTCTACATTTAAAACATTTTCCGCTGGCCGACACACCCGACAGTATAAATTCTGAATTAAGTGCGACACAAGTGCGACGTATGNCATATTGAATACTCTACATTTAAAACATTTTCCGCTGATCTACACACCCGGCAGTATCAATTCTGAATTAAGTTTGACACAAGCGCAACGTCTGAATTGACAGTCCCATTTCTGCCGCACTTAATTGAATTCAATTTGACACAGCAGAAATATGATGTATGAACCAGGCCTCAGACATGCATGTATGTTTGAATAAACAAAAGAAAACATTAGCTATGTCAATGAGAAGCAATAATCACTCAAATTTAAAAACTTATACCCTAAACATCAATTCAAACAGCAATCTTCACTGAGCAAAACAAAACTGAAACCATATAGGAATAGTCTATTTATAGGTGTGGACTACTCAGTGGTATTGCATGACAATAATAATTATTTAAAATCACACACTGTAAATGTCAGGGTCAGTAGACCTTTTTACTCATGTCACGCAAGATCAATAATTTTTCATAATTTTCAAATCAACAAAAAAAAAACCCTCCATGGTTGAATTTATCATGCCAAATTTTGTAAATCCATGAAGTGTCATAAGAATCCACTGCAAACTCAAAAATATGGGACCCCAATGAAAAGAAATGAAAATCAATGTATGCCAGGGGGCAAGAGTAGCTCCCTGGCAACATACATTTCTTTGTAACTTAGGGTTCCCATAGTTTATTAGTTTGCAATGGAATCTAATGAAAGCTCATATATTTACTGAACTCAGCATGATAAATCAAGCCGTGAAGTTTATTTTTTGAGAAAAAATTGGAAAAGTGTGACATTGGTGAAAAGGTCCATTCCAAGCCACTTCATTCCTCTGGGCATTTTTGGGGGGAATCTGACAACTTTTCCTGCCCCAGGGTAGGGCATTTGCTAAATAAATAACAATCATCCTGAGGGTGGGACAATATCAACAGCAATGTATCTGTTTAAGTTTTTAAAATATGTTTAAAGTCCTAAGTTTCCTGATTGCCTACAATACAAAATTGCATTAAAATGTCTTTGGAGTCCTGTGCTTTTCAGACAAACCCACACTCAGTTTTCACTCCCACTTGTGCTAAAGTTTGCTATGTTGCTTCCATGTAAGAACCAGCAAAGGCAGAGAGGAGCCTTAACAACTTTGCAGGGCAAGATGCTCAGTTTACAAGAGCTTAGCTGCTGTTATTGTTCAATTATTGAGAAATAGGAAACATACCATGTTTCTATTGAGTTATAGAAACATGAGTGGAAGTTTGGGAGAACAAGAAATGCTGTAGGAACACAAGCTGAAGGCAAGTGTTTCCACAGCTTTTTTGAGTTCTCCCAAACTTTCACGAGTGTTTCTATAACTCCATAGAAACACGGGGAACATGTTTTCTATTTCTTTTAGAAAATACCATGACAAAGAAAAGAAAACCAGCTTGTTTACTTTGATCACCAAAATGTAAATTCTTTTTGCTCATGCCATCATTATGTCAACAGCTTGTTCTAGTTCTGTGTTGCTATCGAGTTATAGAAACACAATTTTTAACCAATCAGCATGCGTATTTTCTTAGGGCTGTTTTCTAATTGTGCTTAATAGAGATCATATTCTGCAAATGCACTCGCCAGTTGTAAAGGATATACAGAGTAATTCATGCAAATACATGTAATAAGTTAACATTTAATATATTTTTCTTCTGAGGAAAAAATGAATGTCATTAGTATGATAGGGCTTTGAGAGATCTTAGTCCTATTGACTTAGGTAAAGTCGATTGAGAAATAAAAGCAAGGTGATGATTGGATAGTGTTCAACAAGTCATATAATGGGGCTGCTAAGT